TATACCTATGATGAAGATTACAGGCCTCTCTCATCTTTTTAAGTGGGAGAACTTGCACAATTGGTGGCTGACTAAATACTTTTTTGCCCCACTGTATGTCATTTTCTGAAATCAGTTGGTATTTGAACATAGGCTGTTGGACAGCTTGTTCTCTTGTGATTCTTTATCCTGGATTTGTGTTTCTTTTTGACTGAGGGAGTATAGATTTCTAAAAAGATATGGTGGTCCACTGAAGTATCAATTTATTTCAAGAATAATGGGTCCCTCCATGGATTGCATGGTGTTTCAAGGAATATCCCAGTGATCCATCAGTCAAATCTCATTCACTTTACAATGCAAGTTTTTCTTCTTTGTGCCACTATTTATAATTTGTTGCTTTCAAAATATGAAAATATTTCCATTAGCAGCCTAAGTCAGTTTTGCTGTGTAAAGATAATGAATGACAAAGATTACTATGTGCAGTAACAGTATGTACAACTTTCAATTTGGAAAATAACTATTTAAAATTATTCTTTGGTGCCACCTTGTGCATCTTTTCTATCTCTTGCAATGGGAGAATAGGAGGCCCAACCCTGTTTTGCAACCAGTGCTTTATCTTTGCAAGTTTAAGGTCACTCCCAAACAGTCTCCTTCCACGCTGTTGTGGTTCTCAGTGACTCCCTGGAATTCACAGAAACAGTTAACATTCATGGCTTCCTCCCTTTGGCAAATATTACTGATAATCCAAAATCCAGTCGGGTTCTAATCTGACTGCTGTATTAGCTCAACAGAATCTGTTTCTCCAATACTTAGAATTCCGTCGTTCATGTTGCGGTTTCTTTTTGAAAGAGTAATCCATCTCGCCATGACGCTTTTGCTGCTGTCCTCTTTCTCACTCTCTCCTCCTGTGCTTCAGCCTGGGAAGGTAATCCAGATCATTGTATTTGTAAGATCTTATACAAGAAAAGAGTTGCCCTTGGGAAATCCAGTACACAGAAGTGGTAATCCAACGGTTATTTCTTTTGAAAGTTCTTTAAACCCCTTTGCCAAGGAAGAAAAAGGGAAAAGAAAAGAGAAGGGTGGGGGAGTTGGCAAGGTTGGGCAGTGGGCTTTGAAAAACTACCCGTTTGGATGCTAGATGATGAAAAAGTGGAAAAAGTGGCCTGGGGGGGGGAATGAGAACCCCCGAGGCTTAAACGCCTAAGACAGTATTGTCCAAACTTGGCCACTTTAAGATGAGTGGACTTCAACTCCCAGAATTCCCCAGCCAGCATAGCTTTGCCACCTTAACATGATGGGCTTTGCAGGCTGCATCAATCTAGTTGTTTCTATTTGGGTTTAGAGCAGTGTTGGTTCCAAATTTGAGCATCAAAAATAAAAAAAAGATGGAAAAACTCAACAAAAAACACCAACCAAAAACAAA